CCCCTCGAGCTGCAATGGGGCTGAGAAGCTGCTGAAGGAGGGGCTGTATGATGGCGAGCCGCTCTCCAATGGCGGCTACCCCTACAACAACCAGAACACTCTGATAGGCCACCACCTCCGTGACCCACTGCCTTCCTTGTGGCCGTCAGCATCCACTCAAGAGCACCTGACTGGCTACCCACAGCGCCCACCGGGCTCCCACGCCCCGGGCTGGCTCCAGCCCCAACCGCTGCCGAGCTCCCAGCCCTACCTGTATGGCTATGACCACCCTGGAACCTACCGCTCCCGGTCCTTCCCAGCGGTAGACACTGCTAAATATGATGTAAACCCAGTGCTGCCCCAGGCCCCAGCTCGCAGTACAAGCAGCCGGGAGGCCGTGCAGAGGGGCTTGAACTCCTGGCAACAACAAGGAGGAAGCCGACCACCTTCCCGGCTGCAGGAGGGCGGCACGGAGAGCCACAGCCCCAGCATCTCCAGCTGCAGCCCCCAGCCCAGCCCACTGCAGATGGTACCCCCACACAGCCACAGCATGCCTGAGTTCCCCCGGGCACCCTCTCGCCGGGAAATTGAGCAGTCCATTGAAGCCCTTGATGTCCTCATGCTGGATCTTGCACCTGCCGTCCACAAGTCGCAGAGTGTGCCTGCCACCACCCGTCAGGATAAGCCAATGGGACCCTTGCCCTCCTCCCTCTCGACCCAGGCTGTGTCTGGCCTCTACGCCCGGCCATCTCCGCAGGTGGCCCAGCCGAGGTCCTTTGGCACATCTGTGAGCCCCGTGGTCTGTGAGCCTGGGGGCAAAGCCTATTCTCCTGGAGAGATGGACTGTGGGGTGCATGAGTATCGGGAAACCTATTTGCCTTACAACTACCAGCTAGCACCACTGCCGGATCCGAGGAGCTACAGCCATTCTCCGGCAGGAGCACAGATGGGCACTCTCCCATCAGTCAGCACCTCCTACAGTCCTGTGGGGTCTCAACAGCTCCTCACCTCCTCCCCGCCTTCCCCCACCATCCCAGCGCAAATCCAGATGCCCCTCAAGGGACCGGAGAGCTATGAAGACCTGTCGAGGTCGGCAGAAGAGCCCTTGAATCTGGAGGGCCTGGTGGCCCACAGGGTGGCAGGTAGGATTCTTTGATTCCTTGGGGGGATGGGGAGGATCGCATGCCCCAAAGTGCCGGTGCCCGTGGGGGTGGAATGCATGGTGGAGCTGGGGAGGAGTGATGCGGCGATGCCTCGTCCATGCCAGATCTGGGCTTGGGACTGAATCACGTGCCATGAGGGCATTCTGAGCTGCATGAGGACAGCCTGTGCTGCTCTTCTTTGCTAAGATTCCCTCTTGCAGCTTGCTGTCTGCAGCAGCATTGCCCAGAGGTAGGAAGGGGCAGCCGAGGGTGTCAGACCTGCCCCAGTCCTCACCCCTTTAGAGTACAGGGCTGGTCTCTCCCTGGTGGCAGGGCCAGTCACTGGGTCTCAGGGGGCTTGCTTTATTTTAGGGAGAATATGGCAGAGTTTGGGAAGATGTTTTCATCTCTGGTGGAGGGTGTCCTGCCTGGACCCCACTTGGACATAATGCTCTCCCTGTATGGAGCGTGCTCTGGTGTAAGATCCCAGCAGAAAACTTGCCTTGTGTTTGACGTAGCTGGGCTCATCCCTGATTTCAGACTCTGCTTCCCCCCCTGGAGTGCTGGGTTCAGTGCTCAGACCTCCTCCCTGAGTAGCTGGGGTGCTGCTGGAGTGTGGACTAGGCTGTTGTCTGGCAGCTGAAATTCTGCCCCAGTGGCCCAGCCAGCTTGGCCTGGGGTAGTTTGAAGCTGGACTTAGCCTTAGGGCAGTGGTCAGGGGCTGGGAAATGTCTTCCCAGTCCTGCCACAGGGGTTTGGTGCTTGGCTGGGTGCAGTGCTGAGTGTTGGTTCTGTGGCTGGATGATGGCATTAGCTCCGTGCTGCGGAGGGGAAACTGCATCCTCTGATCCCCTGTCCTCCTGCAACTCCAGCTCAGGGGCTCTGAGGAGTGTCCCAGCGCCCCGGGAAGAAGGTGCCATGGCCCTGTGGCAGCTCGGTGCCCTCCCTCCCCGCTGCTTTGGCTGCAGTAGTTGAATTGTGGAGCGACATTTGGGAAGGGCTTGGGGCTGTGGGCCAGCTCGTGATGCTGGGCTTGGCAGCTCTGTCCTTTCCAACTCTGTGCTCAGTCCAGAAACTCGCCCGGCATTAGAGGGAGGGGGAAGAGGCTTGGCTGGAAAAATCCAACAGCACCAACCTCCCAGGAGTGGGGGTTGAGTCACAGGGTGGGAGGCAGGCAGGGTGCCAGTAGCAGGGATGGGAATGAGGAGGGTCACAGAGGTGTTGGAGGAAGTTTGCATCCATCTGAACTCGACCTCAGTGATCCAGACGAGATTCACAAAGGGTCACAAGGCTTTTGCAGAGAATTTAAACAAACCTAAGAACACATGGATGCCCAAACCACACTGTGTGTCTGGACTTAATATTATAAGGAGCACATGCCTGCTCTCCCCTACCGCCCCATATAAGTATAAAAAATGGGCTGGAAAAGAGAACAGTTCTAAGGAGAGGAACAGTATCTGCAGTGTGTGGGAAATGGATGTTTGATGGTGTCTACCAAAAAAAAAATCCACCTCCCCAACCCTGGGGTTAGGGCCTCAGGGCTAGGCTGGTGTCACTGTCATCCTTCTGCAGCCACTGGGCTTCCCAGGGAGGAGGGAGGCATCTGTGGGATGGTCCCAAGCCTGTAGCCACCTGTCTCCACTGGAGCTGGGCCGTCTGTGCTGAGGTGGGGACAGCGCAGGCGGGTGGCCTGACCTCTGGCGGGAACAAGGTGTCCTGAAGCCAATGTTGGGAGGGGACGGCTGACAGGGACAGTGGGACACAGACGGGTTTGTTTACATTCCCTGCTGCTATAAATTGCCTGCCTGTCCTAGTGCAGAGATGAGGAGCATCTCACACCTCCTCCGTTCTTGGGGAGGGAACGCTCCCATTCCCACTTCCCGCTGATGATGGAGGGGAAGAGATGGCACAGGGCAGTGCTGGCATGCCCAGCATCTCCCCACAGAGAGGAGGTGGTCCTGTCATCTTTCAAGTCATCTTCATCTCCCGACAAGGCATTTGGGGTCATGTCTTCATGTCCCAGCCCTGAGCATCCCATGATGGAGGGGACCTGCATGGTGCCATCCCTAAGGAAATGGTGATGGGGCATTTGTGGTGTTGCACAAGGTGACTGGGAGCCACCACTGATTTCTCATATGGGTTTATGTGGTGCGTGGACCCAAGCAAGTTGGCTGATGGGAAAGCATCTCCAAGCAAGGACTGAGCTCCCTCAGACCCCAAGTGACCCCAGCCTCATCTGTTGGAGCCCATCTAATATTTTCTCTTCTTTTCTCTCTTTCCCTCTCTCTCCTTATCGTATCTTGTGACATTTGTCCTGTCTGCCCCTTTTTCTCTCCTTGGGGGATTGTGTCTGTCCTCTGTGATCTCCCACTCTCCTTGCATTCCCTGTCCTGGTATGCTGGCAGAGTACAACGCCAAGCTCAGGGAACTCAACAAGAGCATCAAAGTCCCCCGTCCTCCTCTGAACCAGCAACGGTCCTTCTCCGGTTTGTTCATTCCACCTCCTTCCTTGTCCTCCAACCTTCCCCATTCATCATTCTCCTTCCCTCTCCTGCATTCTTCCCTCTCATCCTTCCTTCCTTTACCTCTCTTCTCTCTCCCTCCTTCCCCCTCATCCCTCCTTCCTTTTCTATCCCTGCATGCTGAATGCTCTGTGTGTTGCATGGACGTGGGATTGAGGGAGGTTCAGGAGACCCTTCCCATGCAGGATTTATCCCTTTTCTTAGCAGAGTGATGGTCAGGGCTCCCCTTGACCTCCTTCAGGGATGGGGGAGCCTCTGGCCCTGGGTACAGACTCCCCTACCTGGCTTTTGCATCTCTTCCAAGCCTGGCACTGCTCACTGGTGAGGTTTTCATTTCTGGGCCCGATCTGCTCCAACCCCTCCAAGCTTTGCCCTGACCATGTCTCACCTTCTGGATCTGCCCTGGGTGATGAGTGCTGGGGACCTGCTTGGTGCTTGTTGCGCACCCACTTGTCCCAGGGCAAGCAGGAGGAGGGAAATGGCATTGGGCTGGGGGCAAAGAGTGGGGTGGGGAGTCACCAGCTTTCTGTGTGACCTTTGTCTCTCCACTGGCACCTTGCGTTTCTCCCCAGGAGGACCAAAGAGATTTGAACTTTCCCAGTCCTCAGCACAGAGTAAGTTATTTTGTTGTGCCCAAGTGGAATGATCAGGCTGGGAGGTGGGGAGCGGTAGACATGTCTGTGTCTGGCAGGATGGGATGAGCTGGGCGCTGACAGGGAGCAGTACAGGGCAGCTTCTGTTCTTCATGGAGGCAGGGAGCAAGTTTGCATGTCTTTTCACTGGGTGCTGTGTGTCCCTGTCTGACTTTAACTGCTCAGTGCCACATCTCGAGGACTTTGCCCTTTCTTGTCCACTGTGGGGATATAACCTGGCTCTTGCCTGGAAGTAGTTCCAGCATCTCATGCCCCAAAAGCAGTTGCCTCCTGATTTGTCTTAGAAACCTGGCTTCCTAGCTGCAAAATGAGCTGGGTTTGCCATCCTCCTTCCCTTGCTGTTGTGCCCCTGCCCTTCACCAGCCCTAGAGCTGTACTGAGTCCAAGGGCAGTGGGTTGGTACCAAATTAGGGACTTAAATGAGCAGCAGAAGGGGTGACAGTCCCGCAGGTGTTGGGTGTGAGGGTGAGGAGTGGGATGCAGGCTGCTGCTCCCTCTTTATGAAGGGGAATCTCATATCCTGCAGCTGGCCAGGGCATTCTTGAGACAGTGACAGTACCATGGCTAAGGGAGGCTGTGTGTCTGCTGAGGGGGCACAGCAAGTGAGGGAAAGTAGAGTTTGTTTTTCAAGCATAGTTTCCAGCCCATAAATCACCCAGGGGGTTGGGGGAGCCATGCTCAGAGCCTGGGTTTCCTCCAGGCTTTGCTCCGGGCGGCCTGTGAAGTTTCCCACTCTCAGCTCCTGAACAATGAGTCCCTTTTTCCCCCTCTCCTCCCTCCCCTCCCTGCGGCCCCGGCCGCTTTCCATGTCTGGGGAGTGGAGCAGCCAAAGCTTGGTGAGTTCCTTAGTGTCCCAATGGGCCAGATCCAGCACCCTGCTGCTACGTGACACGCAGCCCTGGGGATGGAGCAGGGGGACCTCCGCTGTAGATGTGTAAAATGCACTGATAGCCAGGCTATGGCAGTCTGCTGTTAGGGCTTCCCAAATGGAAAATGCAAAGCAAGGCAGCCATGCACAGCTTGAGGAGGCAGTCCCTGCCTCTGTGAAGTGCTTGGGCCCTACAGCTCACTTTAGGATGGGCTGGGTATACAGGAGAACCCACAGTGCACAAAGTGGAAGGGAAAAAAGAAAGTATAAGAGTTTGCTTTGTTGTTCTCCAACATCTTGTTTCTCCCTATGCTCACAACTCTGATCTTCACTCCCTTTCAGTGGAGGGCAGGACAAAAGATATAGGGTGACCCTATACAATGCTGCCAGTGCCTGCAAGGCAGCTTCTCAGGGACCTTCTCTGTCCCCTTGTTCCCTCCCTGGGTCTTTTTAATGGCCGTGCCCCATGCCGGCGAGCACCTGCAGAAGGGATCGGGAGTTGTGTTTCAAAGCTGCTCTTAGTGGAATTTTCCAGGCCGCCTCCGCGACTGGAGCCAGCCCCGTTGGCTCGCGTCCCCCGCCTCGCGGCCTGGCCTCCTCTCCCCCCGAGCCGTGATTTTATTGTTGTTGCCGTTCACTGGGCTGATTATTTAGAAATGCATCCAGGCCACCTCCTTCCCTTCTGTGCTCCCAGCCCTTTCCCCACTTGCAGCCCTTTCCCCAGGGCCAGGAAAGCTCTGGTGAGGGTGCCGAATGGTGAAGAGAGGAGGTCAGCGGGCGTGAGGCGTGGGTCCTGTGTGGAACCCCGGGGAGCGAGGGGAAGCAGCTGATGGCTGGTTTTCCTCCGCCAGCCCGTGGGAAAGGAGTTGGTGTTTGAAAAGTGCATTTCCTGGAGCGTGATACTGGCCTCTCTCTTTCTTTTTTTCTCCTTTTTCTCTTTTTTTCTTCCCTAATATGCTGATCAAGGAGAGTGTGATTGCTCTCTGACTCTGCGGAAAAGGTGAAGGGGACAGTGCTGTCATCTCTGTTAGTGGGGATGAGTGAGTCCCATGGAGGAGCAGGAGTCTCACGGGGCTCTGAGCTGTGCCTGTGATGCTCTGTGGCATTCCTGTGCACTGAACCCGGCACCATTGCCCATGAGCCCTGATAAACCTCTTCATCAGGCGAGATTGAGTAGAGAGTGTGTTTGGGCCCTGTCAGGTGCTGGGAGAGTTGAGCCCCCTTGCCCTGTGCCAACTTTTTCCCTGTTCCTCAACTTTACCCCAGCCAACAGGGATCTACCAGACTGCACAGCCCAAGAAACCCATTGTCCTGTGGTGACTTGCTCTCTCTGTTCTTCCTCCCAGGCTGCAGGCGTTGGTGGCTCATACCACTGGGGTCTGGGGAAGGAGATCTGGGGGTAGATGGAGAGGAGATGCTGATCTCCCCTTTTAGAAAGGCTTTGCACTGGAGACAGGAGATCAGAAGTGGTTTGTTGGGGTTCCTGCACCACATCTCTCTTGGGTTCTTTCTTCTTTACTCAGCGCTCCCTCTGCCTTGAGGACTCAAAATCCAAGCTTTTTCTGCTGCTGTGGTTGAAGCCACATCTGGCTGTGGGAGCAAGGATGCAGCTGAATACAGCTGTCCTAATGCTGGGGGATTCAGTCCTTTCCCAGTGTGATGCTGTCAGGAGGTCCTGTTGCTCCCCAGCTCTGCAGGGCTGGGCTCTCTGGTCTATTGTCAAGGTGCTCTTGCCCCTCAGAGCCTATTTGTGCTTGGGAGGGCTAGTGCAGCAATTCAGCCATTAGCACAATCCTGCCTATCTTTCTGGCCTGGTCCAGGGCCACCACTGTAGGGTGTATCTGCTCTAGCTCATAACTGCTTATGCTGGTCTGGGGGTTAGGTGCAGGTGAGTCCTGAAGCTGCTATCTCTGCTGGGCAGAGTCCCTTCTATGCACATAGTCCTGGGGAGATCTCTCAGATCAGCTCTGGGGCATTTCCTGCTGGTCCCGATCTCAGCTGGCAGCTCCTCACCCATCTCCAACCCTGTGCTTGCCCTGCAGGGGTGCAGTCCCGGGAGAAGTCTCCTCCTGCAGAGGAGAGCGCTGTCCCTGCCCGCAAGCGGACCCCCAGTGACAGCCACTATGAGAAGAGCTCGCCAGAGCCCAGCTCACCTCGCAGCCCCACTGTCCTCTCACCTGAGGTGGTCAGCACCATCGCAGCCAACCCTGGAGGGAGGCCCAAAGAGGTGCGCTGGGGTGGGGGAATGCTGGGTGGGGGTGGGTTGACTGTCTGGGTGCAGATGACTCCAGAGAGGGGGAAGGCTTGGTCAGCATTCATAGCATCCATAGAATTGGAGAACAATGATGCTGTTTGTGGTAGTGGTGGTGGTGATGGCTAGCAGGGAGGAGGTGCAACCCTTCCCTCTGTCCCCTCTACCCTCTCCTCGGAGGTTGTGCCCATCATAGGGACGGGACTGACCCTTTCTCCTGCTCTTCCCAGCCTCACCTTCACAGCTACAAGGAAGCCTTTGAAGAGATGGAGGGTGCCTCTCCCACCAGCCCACCCTCCAGCGGCGGTGAGATTTCTCCCCCCACCCCAGCCTTCCCCGTCTCACCACAAACCCCTTACTCCAACACCTGTAAGTGCCGTGGCTCCGGGAGCACAGGGGCTCGGTGGGTGGCTCTAGGCAAGCCAGAAAATTGCCAAAGGTCAGACAGCTCCAGGCTCCAGACACCCACCGCCATGTTAACCGCTCCCCCTCTCCATCCTCCTCTCTCCTCCACATCCCATTACTCCATGCTACCATCAGCATCCCACTTCCTTCAGCATCCCATGCTTTGCACACTCCTATTTGCTTTTTTCTACCCTCCACTCACTGGGGTGTTTTTTGGATGGGATTTCAAGGTGGGATGAGGAGAGGGGCATGTTTTCGCTCCATCCTGGTCCTGCATCTCCCCATCTTTCCTGCCAGCATGACAAGAAGGGAAGCAAGACCACGGTAGCAGGCGAGTGGGAGGGACTGAAGATCAGGAGAGCAGACTCGCACACCATACCACTTCTTGCTTGCTGTTTCAAGGGCAGGAGGGGGAAAAAGGCTAGGATGCATGTCCTTTGCATGCAGCTTGTCCCTGCGTTATCCCTCCTTTCTGACTAACCCTGACTGCAGTAGCGGTGGGTTTGTGTGGACTGGGTTTGTGTGACCAGCTTGAACGACGAACCCTGATGAGCAGCCACACGTTGGCACAGCATGACACAGGCTGGGCCAGTGCAGTGGAGCAGCCAGTCAACTGGGAAACCCATTAAAAAGATGGCAGCCCCGTACATTCCCTTTCAAATGCTTTTGTAGGCTGAGGGCTGAGGGATGCTCTAGGGCTGGGGATGCTTGGGCTGAGCACAGCCCCCTCTGATGCCATGTCCTGGTTGCAGCTGGGGCCACTTGCCCCCCATAGCTGAGCCCATGGGGCCTGGGGCTGTTTTCTTCTGCACTGTTGCTCTTCCTTCCCTGCAACCCTCTGTTGTTTGAGCCCTGTCTCATGGGATGCAGTGACTGGAGTGTGGGAGTGTCCCCAGGGTGCTTGGCAGCTCGGAAATGGCCCTGTTGTTCCTGGGGACTGAGAGCTCGGCCCTGGGGCAGCAGCAGCTCCTTTGGCAGTGGGACAGTGGCTTTGGAGGATGAGTCACTTGCAGGGGTGACAGGAACAGCCTGGCTGGGGTCATGGCTCTGAGGCAGTGCTGCTTAATGAGCGCCAGCTAGGGAAGCCTGGGAAACTTGAAGTTGCAGCTTTTGGGTGTTGTCAAAGTGCCCCTGGGGGATACAGGAGCAATTTCCCTCCATGGGCGAATAGTGGTCCTGGGAGAATTCCCTGCCCTGGGAGGACCCAGCTGCTCATCAGCCAGCTGAGGTGTGAGCCAACATTGAGGCTTGCAGTCAGCTGGATTTAGGGAAATCAGACACCACTGGGGAAGGTGCTGCCATCTTGGTTTCCCAGGGACTTAGCTGCTTGGCTGCTCCAGCCCCAGGGTGCTGGGGGGACCTGGCCACAGGGCGAGGATCTGGCTTTCCCTGGAGCTCCCACCACCCACTGCCTCCCAGCCTCGCCGCAGGCCCTGTACCTGTGACACTGGTCGGGGATGTTCAAACACTGCTGGAGGCTCATGGCCTTTGGTCCCTCTTGCTGAAGTTGATGCCCTGAGGTTTCCCCTGGTGTGGGAAAATGCAGCATCAGGGAGATGGTGTAAACCCAGGAGGTAGGAGGGGAGAGGAGGTGCAATCTGCCTGGGGAGGTCTACCCTGCCCTATGAAACCCCACTGCCATCCATACCATAGCCATACATACATATGCAGCCCCTCCTGGTATGTATGTATGAACACAGGGGTGCAGACCTCATGTGTACGTTGCCACCCCTCTGTGTGTACATCTTCACCCACTCACTGACCTGGTCTGGAGGACAGGTTTCTTTTGGCAATCCTTCTGGCCCTTTCATGGGGGTGATGAGCTGCTCCAGCACAGTTGGGTTCCAGCTCAGCCAGATGTGGGGATTGGCAGAGAGGAGTTCAGGTGTGGGAGAGCTGGGCTGGGGGGATGGCTGCTCACACAGGGGGAATGAAAGGGGCTTCATGCCTTTGTGGGGACAGTGCTGGGAGATGGTGTCTGGACCTCTCCTGGTGGGAATTGCCCCCTTTCTCCATCCTGTCAGCCTTGTGATGGGGCAGGGTGCTTGTTCCCAGTTGCATCCTGCCCTGTGTCCTCTCCAAAATGGGGAGGGGGGTTGGTGTCCATCCCCAGAGTGTTGCTTCATACAAGGGCATCTACTCTTCCTTGCAGCCAGTGGGTGGGATGGGTTATGGGGCTCTGAACCCATCGCAGCTCCAGCCTTTCTGAAACTTCATTTCCCACCCCTCCACTAACGTTCTTGTGTCCACTGTGCCTACAGTGCGTTCGCCCCCTGGCCTGGCCAAGACCCCACTCTCAGCACTGGGGCTGAAACCCCACAACCCAGCTGAGATCTTGCTGCATCCAGTGGGAGGTGAGTGTGGGCTTGGGGACTGCAGTTTTTTTGGAGGGGCATCTGTGAGGGTGCCCCTGGAAGGGTCTCCTGTCTGGAGAAGGCACTTCTGCCTCCCTTCTGGGGCCAAGTGGCTGTGGGAGTCCTTGTCAGCTTTTGTGGGGACTCTGAGACTGTGTAAGGGTAGGAGATGTTGGTGCTGCCCTGAGGGCTCAGCACAGAAGGGTTCAGTGGTGAAGGGAAGAAAAACCTTGTCCTGTTTCCTGCCCAGGACCATATTCTTCCCTCTCTCACCCCCTCCATTCCTTCTCCTCTCTAGCACAGCTGGAGACAGTTTGCTCTCTGGGAGCTGAGCCTGTCAGCCAGAACAGTATCCAGAGCTCTTTCCATCCTGGACATCAGTCCTTGTGTGCAAAGGCCCTGCTGTCCTGGGGACGTGTCCTGGAGTAGCCTGGCAAGCCAGACCTTACTGCTCCCCAGTGCACAGGGCCCCTTCCTGAACCATCTCAAGGCTGAGTGTAACCTCCCTAAACCCGTCTGAGCCTGGGGGTCACAGCTTGGTTGAGCCCAGCCGTCAAGACCCTTCTTGCTCTGCCCTCAAGGGCAACCTGATGCTTTTTTTGGTGCTTGCTGGGCTTCTTGAAGCAGCCCATTGCTTGCTCTCTGCTGCATTGTTCCCTCTTCCCCAACCCCCTGGGTTTTGGACATCATCTGCTGAGGTGAACCATGGTGGTGTCTGGGGCCTGGGATCCAGTTTGGAGCACAGTGTTGGGAAGGTGTAGGGCTATCCTATGTGTTCTGTGTGCCCCTGCCTGAGCAAGGCAAAGCTGCTTAACTCTGATTTCTCTTTCTGTCTTGCACCTCTCTTCTTCCTCCTCTTCCTGCTCCCATCACACCTCTGCCCCTCCATCTCTCAGAGCTAGAAGGGGAAGCGGGCGGTGACTCTGAAGAAGGTAAGAAAGGCTTTTCTTTCTCTGTCTCTTCCTCACTCAGCCTCACTGTTGGGACTGTCACTCAGAGCAGCCTCTGGTGTCTGTGCCAGCAGCCTTCCCTTGCACTGTCCTTCAGGGATGTAAGAGCCTGAGTCTTGTCTGTCCAGCTCTCTTTCGAGGAGGGGCTCATCATGCCTTGTGTCATGGTAGGATTTGCCAATGTCCAAGTTGGACCTGAAGGTCTGTCATGTTGGGTGACAATCATCCATGGGGACTGAAAGCTCTTTGTCAGTGTGTGGCATCCTTACCAGTGGCACTCTGGGGATGCTGGCACGTTGCGACCAGCTTTGGATGAGCCTGGTGGGGTGCTGGGAGAAGCAGCGCCAGTTTTAGTCTCCTGCCCTCCCCTTCTGGCTTTGCTTCTGCTGTTCAGAGGGAAAATAAAACAAAGTGCAGCACAAAAGGTCAGCAGGCGCAGAGGCCACCAGTGTGTTGCCGGCTCAGCCGACTGGGCAGCAGCACAGCACCAGCAGCTGGTGCACATCTTCTGCTGACCAGGCAGCTGCCTAAATATCCCCCACCTCTCCTGTTTCCAAGTTGCACCTTTTGAGGATGCCAAGGATGGGGCTGAGTTGGGGTGTCAACTCAGGATTGGCTGTACTGATGCAGGATGCACTGTGGGATGTGGGGTGGCATGTCTCTGGGGATGGAAGCTTTAGGAGTGGCTGTGATTCCCCAGAGTGCTGCCTGCTAGATAACAGTTGTTGTGTGGTTTTGCTTTCTTCTTTCATGAATTTTTGGGCCCTCAGGGCTGAGATGAGGAACTGTATGTTCGGGATGGGTTTTGAGGAGAGGATGTCTTCTTGGTGAGTGAGGTCCTTCCTGTGGCCCTGGGAGCTGTCAGCATTTCTCCTCAGAAGTTCCTCAAAAGGCACACAACCCGAATCTGAACATTGCATAGTACTGGAGAAATGTTCTACTTCCAGAATTAATTTTTCAGTGATGGCTTCTTGGATACTTTAAAGGAGGAAAAGCTGGGATAAAACCAGGATTTTCCTTCCTGAGTTCCCTCAGGCTTTACCATATCTGTCCAGCTTTAAGCCTCCAAAAACCTAAACAGTGCCTCTCCTCTCCTTCCCACCAAACCCTCAGGAGCTCAAGCTGTGCTGCTTCTCTGTTCCCTTGCATGGTGGTTGACTCCCAGGCAAGGATGTCCAATGACCCTGCACTGCCCAGGCTGAGTGACCACAATGAGCCTCTTGCCCTGCTTCATTCTCTAATAAAATTTTGTATTTTGGGGGTTGAATCTACAGTTCTGAGAAGGGACTGGTGTTCTGGCTTAACAGAGCTCTGGCTTAGGACCCTCTGCTCCCAGCCACACACTCCAGGAGGATCTTTGCCCCTCTGTGCTCTGCTCAGCAGATCCCAACCTACATGGCTGGGCTGTGCATGGGGCTGGGGGATGCTCTGGCAGCATGGGAGCTTGGGATCTGGCTGCCACCTCTGAGGAGGCTTTAAAACAGACTGGCACAGATTCAGCGCTTGGGATTTCTGGCCAGAGCACAGCCCTGCTCAGATTTGGGATTCCCGAACAAATGCCCACCTCCCTGGTGACTCACAGCTTCTCTATTCTCCCATCCATCGTCCCATCTCCAAGAAAACACAAGGAGTCAAGATTGGATTTTTCAACCTAAAAAAATCCTGCCTGAGACTGCCTATCTTTTTTTTCCTTCTGTTTACCCCTACTGAACCAAATGTCTGTAATGTGTGCCCATGGTCACACACCTCATTGTGACACTCCTACGTTGTCCCCCCTCCCTGAGGCCCCTGCTCCTGCCTGCTTCAGCCCCCTCGTTTTCAGGAGGGGATGGCATTTTCACAGCCTTTTGGTCTTAACCTCTTGCAGACTGACTCATATGTACTGTCTGGCTAATTTTAGTCTGGGCTGGGGAGCAGGGGAGGGGAAAAGTGAGTAGCTGTGAAATTAATTTAATTACCTAAGCTGTGATGAATTTCTTGCAGCTGCCCTGGACGTCCTCCTGGGCAGTGCCTCATCCCTGTCACTCAGGATGTCCTGCCCTGGATGGTGGTACCCAGCCTGTGTTGGAGTCTATCATCTGGTTTTGGCTCAGATTTTTCCTGAGGTGGTTGAGCAGGGCTGGGCAGGGAGATCAGCCTGAGGGATGGACTCCTCCTCCCCTGTGCACAGACAGATGATGCTGTGGGGGAAGGAGGGGGACCTATGACAGTCTTTTTCCTTACATGCCCCTGCTCCGGCAGTGAATGTGGAGCTGTGCATTGGCGTGGCTGCCTGTGAGCAGGCCAGCTTGCTGGAAGGCTTAGCCAGAGCCCAGCTGTTATGACTAATAATAATAATGTTTGTCATGCTAATTACGACTGCGGAGCTGCTTAGGCATGGCCAGCCTGGAGTCCCTGGAGCCGGAGACCTGCAAGGTTGCCTGGCCCATAGCATTTGATGCCAGTGGGTCTCACATAGGGCATGTATTTTCCAGCTGAGGTGTGACATGGCTGCAGGGCATGGGGAAATGGGGCTGAAGCTGCAGCCCTTTCTTCTGGTGCAGGTTTTGGGGGGGGCTGGAGGCTGTGACAGCTGTCATAGGGGTAGGGATCAGCCTGGATGGAGCAGGAGACAGGGGGAAAGGTATAACAGAGGGCTGGGTCTGCCATCTGCCATGGCTGGTAATGGCCAGCCCAGCCTGCTGCTCCTGGCACGGGACAGCTTGGCAGCTCCAAAGGAAAATTGCTTTTCTTGGTTGTGTTCATGGGCTCTGGTTTCAAGCTGGGCTGGGAGTGAGAGTGTTGGATGCTGCAGTGGAAATAGTTGGAGTTGCCTTATGGTCTGCTGTTGGAGATGGCTGGCAGAGGTGGGCCACAGAGGGCAGGGACCACAGGGTATCGTCATCAGTCCTGTGTGAGTCAGCGCAGTCTGGGCAGAGTCACTGGCTCTATTTTTAGAGGCTGTGGATGAGTAGGGAGCAGGACGTGTTCTATGTGGCATCCTGGGTGGGAGGGATGCTGAATCAGAGCAGGGTGGAGGGGCTGTGGTATGGGAAGGGATCATATGCTCTGGTCCCCTCAGGGAAAGGGGTGGGTATGACCCCCTTCCCTATGCCCTGGCTGGGGTCTTCAGCATTCTGGAAGCATCTTAAAAGTCCAGATGAGCCAGATGTGTTTTTGCACAACCCTTGATGGAAGAGATATTAGGGAAATGTTCAGCTGGAGGAGCTCAGCTCAAGCACCTTCACTGGCATGAAATGTGGATACTGGAAGGTGTGACCCCCTTCCCATCCAAGCTGTGGGCTCATCTGTTTCTGCTTCTCTTTTGCCACAGAGCCCAGGAGCTATGTCGAGTCGGTGGCCCGCACAGCCACGACGGGCAGGGGAGGGACCCTGCCAGCTGCCCAGCCTGGGGGCTCGGAGGTGCCCACCAGGAATGGCACCTTGTCCAACTCCTTCATTGCCCCCAGCCCTGTCTCCACCAGCAGCCCCATTCACAGCGTGGACGGGTAAGACAGTGGGTGCAGGTCATGGGGACTTGTGGCACAGGGCTGAACTCTGCCTGGTGCCAGGCTTAGAATCACAGAATCATTAAGGTTGGAAAAGACCTCCAACCAAACACCACCAAGCCAACTAAACCAGAGCACTAAGTGCCACATCCAGCTATTTCTTGAACACCTCCTGGGATGGTGCTTCCTCCTACATTGAAACTGCCTTTGGAAGGACCCTCATCTCTCCACACAGGGTTTGGAGATCCTGGCCAACCATTCGCCTCAGTGCCCTGAAAACAGAAGTCTGAGTCACTGCTGGTCACTGGGAACCTGGCCCCTGGGGTGGGAGGAGAGATGGGGCCCCTAGCCCTGGGTTAGGCTTAGCATTGGTCCTCTGTGGTGAGATGGAACCATTGTCCCTGTCCCCTGTCTGCCCTGCCCACGGAGTGTTCTGCACCTGCCCAGCCTGCCAAGCCAGGCAGGGCAGAATGAACAGAATGAATCACGTGTTTTGCTGGGAGCAGAGCTGCAAAAAGACTGTCTCCTAGAAAGTCATATTTTGAGATGGAATAGGGATGCATGGTAGAACTAAGGCTGCTTCTAGTTGCTTTCATGGTAAGACCCACCCCACTGTTTTACCTCTGAAGAACTGAGCAGCTGACTTGCTCTGTGCCTCAGTTTCCCTTTGCACCACTTGCAGGAGGGTGCCAGCCAGCAGCAGGAATGAGCACTATAGTTGAATCCTCCTTTTCTTCATCTCTCCTCAGGGCCTCCCTCCGCAGCTACCCGTCAGAGGGCAGCCCCCACGGCACGGTTACACCTCCCCACACCTCGGCTGAGCCTGCGTATCAGTCGCCTGTTGGCTCGCAGATGCCCTCTGCTCACAGCAGCTATCAAAACTCGTCTCCATCTTCCTTTGCAATGGTCCAAGGGGGGGTCCCAGGCTCGACATACAGCAGCCCCGACTACCCCGATGGCCGAGCCGGCATCCAGCTGGAACCCCAAGCTCGGCCGCAGCCACAGGTTAACGTGGTGGGGGTCCATGCCCTGCCAGGGAGCCCCCGCACCTTGCACCGGACAGTGGCTACAAATACACCACCCAGCCCTGGCTTTGGGCGAAGAGCCATCAACCCCAGCGTGAGCGGAGCTCCTGGCAGCCCTGGGCTGGGCAGACATGCTGTTGCGGCCCATGGCAACCTGGTGGCCCCACTGGGGAGCCCCAGCCTGGCCAGGCATCAAATTGCAGCAGCCACCTCCCCTGGCAGCCCCCTGTATGGCTACTCCAGCCCAGAGGAGAGGCACCTGACGTTGTCTCGGCAGAGCAGCTCCTCCGGCTACCAGCCTCCCTCCACGCCGTCCTTCCCTGTCTCACCGGCGTACTACCCTGGCACGAGCACACCGCACTCCTCCTCCCCGGACTCGGCTGCCTACCGCCAGGGCAGCCCCACATTGCAGCCTGCGCTGCCTGAGAAGCGGAGGATGTCAGCCGGGGACCGCTCCAACAGCCTCCCCAACTATGCCACTGTCAATGGCAAGGTGTCCTCACCCCTCTCCAGTGGCATGTCCAGCCCCAGTGGTGGGAGTGCCGTCGCCTTCTCCCACACTCTGCCGGACTTCTCCAAGTTCTCCATGCCAGGTATGGAATGCCCTCAGAGGTCCCTGTATCCCACCACCCTGCCCAAGGCTCTCCCCTCCTCCTCCTTTCCGGCCAGCAGGGAAGGGATTTCAGCCATGTCCTGATTTACCCCTCCTGTCCATCTGCAAACCACCAGCACTGCTGGGGCTTGGGCCATTTCCTGCGCTTTCTGACAAATCCAAACAGGAAAAACACCAACTGGCATTGCTGGTGTAAACAGTGCCCAGAGATGTATATGGGGAGATCAAAGCTCCTGGAGACAACTTTTCTCTGATGTGGGGATGCATTGACCTCTTGGCCCCATTCCCGGTGGCCTTTACCCCACTGAGACCCCTCTGTGGCGCTGCCTCCTCATTTCAAATGGTGTGCAGTGCTCCAGGTGCCACCGTGCCTGGAACGCCTTCGCTAGCTCCCATTACAGGACACCTTGGTGACGCCAAGATCAGGCTGATAGGACTGGGAGAATAAAGCTTTGGGCAGCAGTGGCTCTGACTGCTGGGCCTGTTTCACTGCTGAGCAGGCAGCCCTTTGTGGGCACACTGGCACCTGTCCTGTCTTGTGACTCCTGTGGCCAGGGATCTTTCCCAGTGGGGAAGCATGAGCAATTAAAAACCGTAACAATTAATGAATGACCTGGAGAGGGGAGCAGGCCCCCCGCCTCTATGGAGATGACCAGATAGCTGAGGGTTGGTAACATCTCCAGCAGAAATGCTATCCAGCCCTCCAGGTTGGTTGCTTGGTGGTTTTTGGAAAGCAGATTGTTGGAAGTGTTGTCTGAGTGAATGACAGCTTCACGACCAGAGCACGAGCTCCCACTGGGAGCTGTGCCACTGCTGGACACTGAGCGAGGTACGGTCAGGCTGGGGCTAGGGTCAGGCTTTGCTCAGGGTAGGTCGACCTATCCAGTTCCTCTGCATGGAGCAAAAATAAGGGAAGAAATTTATTTTTATGATCTTTGATAAAATCTATCAAATCTATGATTTTTATGATCTTGAACATTAGAGAGCAGTGAAGGTCCTTTGAAGAGGATCTCCCCAGCACCTTCTGGACATACCTCTTTCCTCCAACAGCTTTTATTTCACCTGGCCAGCTTCCTTTTAAATGATGAATTCCCATTTTGTCTCTGGCTGTGTGCCAGAGAGGCTCATCCAACACAGCCCTTCGAGGGCCCATGTGCTTGGATTTAGCTTTAGATGCCCAGCAGCCCCATAAGCTCCAGATGATGATCAGCCTGTCTGGGTATGGAGCACTGGGTTGAGGTTAGTGCAATGTGCTGGAGCTGAAAGGGGTTGGAGGTATTGACACTTTAGCCACATGTAGAGTTTCAGATACAGCATCTTTTAACTTTTTCCTTGCATTTTCTTCCCTTTCTTGCAGACAACAGCCCTGAGACTCGTGCCAATGTCAAGTTTGTGCAGGACACTTCCAAGTACTGGTACAAACCAGACATCTCCAGGGAGCAGGGTAGGTAGATGACACAGGGTTGGGAGTTGGGCTATGTCTGGGATCACAGGGATTACCAAAGTTTTCCTTTAGGGGCTGGGTTGAGAGTGAAGGTGTATTATGGATGCTCAGACTGTTGCAGATGGGGTTGAAGCTCAGTTCAGCTGCAGGTTTGCATGATGTGGGCTCCTCAAACCTTCCTCTTGGTGGAGGAGCACCAGTCCCTTCAGTGTGCAGTGGAACTATGCAATTTGGGATGCAAAGCACGCAGGTCTTGAGTTGACAGAGCTCAGAGGGGTCTTGGAGTCATGGCTAAAATAAGTGAAGAGAACAAGGAGGGGGCAGGATGACCTCAGGATCAAGGTCCTGGCGTTTGGTCCATTGGTTTCTGCTTGCTCTCTAGTGCTTGGTTGCTCAGAACTAGGCAGGGTGGGAGTTGGTGCTCTGAGATACCCATGCAAGGGCAGTGGATGTTGGGGGGAGCCTGTGACTGGCCACAGACCCACTCCAGACCCCCATCCAGATGTGCAGGGGGCACGGTAACATTGCAGTGCCCAGCTGTGAGGCTGTGGATCTGGGGCGCCCCATCCCAACCCACACTTTCTGGTTTCTGAGGGTGTGTTGGTTCTCTCTGAGCTCTGCCATTCTGTCCTGCAGCCATTGCACTGCTGAAGGACAGGGAGCCTGGGGCTTTCATCATCCGAGACAGCCACTCTTTCCGGGGAGCCTACGGCCTCGCCATGAAAGTAGCTTCTCCACCTCCCACGGTCATGCAGCAGAACAAGAAAGGTATTGTGTGCCCTTCTCCTTCCCACGCCAAGATGCTTTCTTTCCATTGTTCAGCTGGGGTGAGCGGGCAGCCAGGCCTGCTGAGCCAGTTGTGCTCTTGCGTATGTGCTGATGTGGCAGGATCCCTCCGTCCCAGGGCACAGGGAAGCACCAGATACCCTCTTATCCTGAGCTGTGGAGGGCTCAGGGGCACCTGCATCTTGGGCTTTCGTATGAGGTATGAGCCTCTCCAGCTCACCAATGCTGTGGGGAAGCTTGGCTTGGGGTTGACCCTGTGTAAAGGTCCTGATTTGGGGAGGGTATGTGTACTGGTGGGGACCCCTCCCTTGAGTTGGGGCACTGGTTTCCTAATGGGACTGCATAGTAATAGGAGGAGGAGGGTGATTCTGGTGTGAGAACATCCCATCTCTTCCTAGGAGACATGACTAACGAGCTGGTGAGGCACTTCCTCATCGAGACTAGCCCCCGGGGTGTGAAACTAAAAGGATGTCCCAACGAGCCTAATTTTGGTAAGTGCCCCCAGGTGCTTCCTACATGTGGGGTTGGGCTGGGAGGGCCTTTCCTTTACCAGACTGTCAAAGCAAAACTGTTGGGTGTCTGGGAGAGCCTGTAATTGCCTCTTGTGCCTGGGTGAATCCTGTGGGCATTTGGAGCCTCTAAGGTCATGCACACTCATGAGAGCACACAAATGTGCCTGCATGCATAGGTGCATAGTTTTCTGCACACATGTATAGGACAAATGCTGCTGGTCAGGGTGGGGGGCAGGGGCTCCCCTTGTTCCATTTATCCTATGACTAATGTTCTCTGAGAGGCTGCCCAATTCATTGTTCCTAATATGGCCCTGGCATCTCAGCCCCCTCCCTGAGCCCTCTGTAGGCATAGTGGTTTCAGCAAGACGAATTGCCACATGTGGCATTAGGACCATTAGTGCAGAAACCCACCTAAAAGCCGTTCCCATCCACCTGGAGCAACGATGACCTAACTGAGGAAACAGATGTCCCTGGCTCTGTGCTGACCATCTTCTCTCTCTCCCCAGGCTGTCTCTCGGCTCTGGTGTACCAGCACTCCATCATGCCCTTGGCTCTGCCCTGCAAACTGGTCATTCCTGACCGAGGTAAGAGCCAGGACCAGAAGGTATTGCATCTGTCCCCATGGCCTGTTGGGATGTGGTAGGTTTCCAAGCAGGGAGCAACTTTAACCATCCCATGTCTTCTAGATCCCATGGAGGAAAAGAAAGACTCTGCATCAGCCACCAACTCGGCCACGGACCTCCTCAAGCAGGGTGCAGGTGAGTAGAGAAGGGCTGTTACGGGGTGAATGGGGCTCGGAGCAGTGGTTGACCCCACGTCTGCTGTCTCCCTTTCCAGCCTGCAATGTCCTCTTCATCAATTCAGTGGAGATGGAGTCACTGACAGGCCCCCAGGCCATCTCGAAGGCTGTTGCTGAGACACTGGTGGCTGACCCCACACCCACTGCTACCATTGTTCACTTCAAAGTCTCTGCACAAGGCATCACCTTAACGGACAACCAGAGAAAGTAAGTCTCCATGGCCATGTCCCTGGGCTCCAAAAGCCGGTGGGGCTGTGATTCAGAGAATGTCTTGGTGATGGATGTCCCTGGGGTGGCATCAATGTGGTCATGGGCAGGGCTGGACTTTGTCCTGTGGGAGACATATGGTAGTGTTCCCTGTGCTGGTGGGGCTGTGCTGTGCTGGGACAGAGATGGAGGCTCTCTGGCCCTGACATTCCCTGCTTTGTGTTTCAGACTGTTCTTCCGACGACACTACCCCCTCAACACCGTCACCTTCTGCGACTTGGACCCCCAGGAAAGAAAGTGAGTGCCCTAACTTGGGGCTAGCATATGACCCCTACCCCTTTCACTCCCCTAGGCTCCTGGGATGCTTGGAGCAGGGTCTTTGCTTCCTCTGTCCCCCTTGCTCTTGAGGAGGGCAGGGACGCAAGGTCTCCTTCGATACTGTGGGGCAACACCAGCTGCTTCTGGTGACTTCTTGGTGTCTCCAACTACCTTCATGTTGAGGGAGAGGTGCATCATTTTTCCATAAAGCCAAACCTGTGCAAAGCCAGGCTGGCCTTCCAGCATTGGTGCAGTGGCCCTCATCATGATCCTGTCTGTGGGAGGCAGAAGGCATCACCCTCACACCTTCTCTTGTCCTTGCAGGTGGACTAAAACTGATGGCAGTGGCCCAGCCAAGTAAGTACTTTCTGTACTTCCTAGCAGATTTCTCCCAGCTGCTGTTGAAGTAGCTCCTGTGCATGTTTGGGCATTGGCTGGGAGATTCCCTATGCCGGACAACCTCTTGGCTGTGTGTGAGATGGGCTCAGCTCCTCACTGCAGAATGCAGAAGTGTTTCACCCAAGCATGAGACCATGGTCCTGGGGACTCTGGAAGTATTTTTCAGTCCCAAATTCCTAGTCAGAGCAGGCATGGCCCTTGATGAACTGACCTTACTGGAAATTCTCCCAGCAGAGTCAGTTGGAACCAGCTTATGGAGCAGAGCTGGGGTTATGCTGATGGTGTGTGAGCCACCAGTTATCTCTTCCCTTTCCTACCATCTTCCCTGTCCTGACCCATGGGAGCACAGAGCTGCTGGCTGAGCCCATTTACAGGGGCCAGTTCCCACTAATTTTAGCCATTGTGTTAGCGAAGGGGTTTTTATTAGGATGTCCAGCTGCTGGGATATTTCCCCTCCCCAATTAGAAATGCCATAGCCTGGGCCTGTCTCACATTCTGTTCCCCCTGTATTTATAACTTGAGTTTGCATGTTCTAATTAAAAAAAAAAAAAAGGGGGACATTTTATTCATCAGGGGAGAGACAGACAGAAATAACCAGATGGTCTCACTCAGCTTCCTGTGTCCTTGCAAGGCCTTCCTCTCATAGAGGGTTTACCCCAATAGTCAGCCGATCACACCGCTGGCTTCAAGTGTCCTCACCCAAACCAAGGCAATGCTGTGATCATCTGGAAGGTCCCTTCTTGGGTGTGGACTGGGGGGTGGCAGAGGTGTTCAGATCAAGGGGAGTTTGGCCAAGAGATGGTGAAAAACTGACCTTCAAAGAAACTGCAGCAAAGGGAAGAGGAGATGGGCCTTTGTGCAGGCTGATTTGGGATGTATCCCCCTGTGTTGTGAGAGGTTGAAGAGGGGAGGTTGAAGAGGGGAAGTTGGACAAGACCATGCTAGAAGAGGATGGTGGTATTCCTTGCGGGGGCAGTGCTGGCAAACCTTAATGAGCCTCTTGCCTTCTTCCCACCTAGGCTCTTTGGCTTTGTGGCCAGGAAGCAAGGGAGCACCACAGACAACGTCTGCCATCTCTTTGCTGAGCTGGACCCAGACCAGCCAGCTGCAGCCATTGTCAACTTTGTCTCCAGGGTCATGCTTGGCTCTGGCCAGAAGAGATGAGGTGGTGCTTGCGGGTGATTCTTGAATTTTGGAGAAGGACTTGGAGCTGATCCGAGAAGGAGTGTGAGGAAGTGCATTGTGGGAGAGGGAAGTGAATTGGGGGGGGAAAAGGGTTGGAATTTTGGAGGAAAACGGCAAACAACAAAAAAACCCCAACGAAACCCCTAAAAACTCAACACAAGCCAAACACACATGTAGAAGAACAAAACCACGCGCCTACATAAGAGAGCCACAAAGTCACGCCAGACAGGATGCATGTGCCATCACGGGGAAGGTGACCAAAGCAAAGGCAGCAGTGAGAGGTGTGTTTCCAGCTTTCAGCATCATGGCCTGACTGGTGACATCCATTTGGGACTGAATGCGGGACCAGGACTGGTGTCTTCCATCTGGAAAAAAAAGAGCCAACTGGCAAAACTGTGGAAGAAGCTCTATCCCAGCATCTCCATCAGCAGATGTCTGCTGTATGTTTGTAATGACCCATAGGAGATAACGATGTGGGCTGGGTCTATGGGACACCAGAGGAGATGCTCTCAGAAATCTTCACTTGTCCAGCTGCAGAGGAGAGTCCTCACCAGTCCCTGTGCTTCCCCCAAAACCTGCTCACTACCTGGCAACTTGCTGGGGACATGGGGGAACTTGGTCCTGATCCTTCCTATCCCTGGGGAGCTCTGCCATGGGCTGACCTGGAGCCCAGCACCAGTCACAGGTGAGACGCTGTGAGTCCACCCAGAGAGGCAGGTCATGGTGTTTCCCCACCTTTGCAGGGGTGGTTGTGCCCTCCAGCCTGCAAGGAGATGTGGGGGCTCCTGCTGCCCTCCACCTGGGGAAGGCAGATACTCCCCGGGAACCTGAAGGATGCAGAAAGTCGCCTCCTCTCCCATCTTCCCCTTTTCCCTCCCCTCACTAGTCCTCTTTGGCAGTTTTCTTCTGCAGCCTGTCACATTCTCTTAACACAAAAAAGCAAAACAGAAAGGAAAGTAATACAATGTAATAATAATAATAATAATTATAATAATAGCGGATGCTGGCACAGGTGGGTTCCCTGTGTGAAGCAGCAGACCCGTGGCTACCCCTGTCTATCTCTTCAGAGACACGCAAGCGGTTTTTAAATTGCATGGACATTCAAGTTGCACGAAAGGCGAATGACTGCAAGTAACTCAGGCGCTTTTTTCTCCTTTTGTTTTGGAGGCCACGTTAAAAAAAGAAAAGGAAGGAAGAAAATTAAAAGAAAAAAAAGAAACAAAGGAAAGGATCTGCAGTGGCTGGGCAACTTTGGCTCAGTGGGGAGGTAGCAGGTCCTCTGAGAGCCACCCTGGTTGACACATGCATACCCCCAAAGCCTTCTGGCTTGAGGCTTGCGACCCTCAAATGCACCATAGTTTTGCAGTGACTTCAGTGCCGTCAGCTTTTCCCTTTTCTTTGGGAGGTGAGGAGGGCAAGCCAGGAGGTGAGAGGGGTGAAGGGCCTCCATGCTGCTGCAGGGAGAGAGATCATGGTTGGGGGGCAGCAGGTGGAGGTCCCAGCCCCGTGGTGCTGGGGAGAGGGCAGAGGATGCTTCAGTCACATGTGCAGGTTTGGGGCAGGGACAATGATCTGGCTGGAGCTGTGGGGTCATTGCTTGGCCCTCTGCTGCAAATATTCCCCCCAAGAGCTTTCTGGGAGAAGTTTTCAATGCAAAGTGGCCCAGATAGTCTACTGGGGACAAAAATTAGAAACATAGCACTGCAGTCCCTCGGAGAGCTTATCTCCCTTGGACCGCCCTTGCCTTGATAGCTATAATATATATACGAGCTATACTGACAAAATACTGTAAGCTAATGAAATTCTAAGGAGGAAAAGTTAAATTTACACTCTGAAAATATTTATTTTTGCCATATTGCTTTCTGCGCATCATATCTCCCCCATTATATCTCCCCCTTCCCCTGCCCTGGGGAAACACCTGCACGTTAAAAGAAAATCCAGAGCAAGATAAAATACAGATGGGGGAAGAGACAGGGGCCCCCTGTGTCAGGGTGGTGTGTGTGAGTGATGTGTGTGTGTGTGTGTGTGTGTGTGTGTGTGTGTGTGCATGCATGGGGGAGTGAGCGGTGTGGGCGGCCAGAGAGGGCTGCCAGGGCCGGAGGCTGTGCTGATGTACTGAAGCGAGTGTGAAAGGATGGGTAGCAAGGAGTTGGTTGTGAGATGGTGGTGGGACAAGGGACTCTGGGGGGGGTTTCCCCCCGCCCAGCTCCCTGGCCACACAGATGCTGAGACCTTTTAATTTTTGATATTTCCAAAAAGCGATTCCCTCCTTCTGCGAAATTCAAGCGAGACAAGAGACAATCTCACCCGTGATCTCTTCACCCTGACGTTCACCCATCAGAGAAAACACTGTGTTTATAGATATATAAAGATATATTTTTGAAAACCTCTATTTTTCAGACTTGGTTTCTCACTGCTAAGAAAAGAGATGATAATAATGTAATTTTATTTTAATCTGCTGCCTTGGAAACCGGTGCTTGAAACTCCCATTCCTCTTTTTCTCCCCGTACAAACGAAACAGATCTAAGCACCCCAGAGATGTTGTGTAGAAGCCGACCCCAGCAGATACCTGCCAATAGCATCATGCCTGCTTCGGGCCCCGAGCCACTCACGGCTTCCCCACTAACCCACTAGCTGAAGATTTAGACCGTAGCCAAATCTCAAACACTAACAAAATTATCTGATGATTATATTATTTTTTTAACACACAGCTAATCACCTTCCAATGATGTAGCCGGGTGTTTATCAGCTCCCTTTAAAGGCACTTTTTTTTTCCTTTTAGCTCCTTTTTTAAGTTACGTTTTTAGGTGTAACTACCCTTTCTGTACCCAGGAGAGACTGTCAGTGGCATTGAGGATTGCCCAGATCCTGGGGCTGGTGGGGACCTAGTGTTGACATTTTTTCCTTACAAAAGGGACAGAAAATAATCTGTTCTTTTTTCTTTGGTTTTTTTTTAAGCGCAGTCATGCTATTTGAGATTCGAGCTTGCGCGAGTTAAGCCCAGCATATGTTTTGTTGTAATCACACTGCCGTTGTCAGCAGCCGGATGGTATCTCTCTCTCGCTCACACACACACACACAAACACACCCCTCCTTCCTGCACAAAGAACTGCATATATTCTTGCCAAAGATATCCTTAAAAACGCACTTTCCCCCACATATATATATTATTTTTTTTGTGTGTGTGTAAGTTTATTGTACGTGCCCTTTTTGTGTCAGTTTGTTCTTCAGAGAAGCCCCTTCCCACCCGTCCTCCCTTTGCTGTTGATATTGCTGTCTATTGGGAAATGCTCCCTGGGGCGGTAATTTGCTGTCTGTGCCACAGAGTGGCACCTGCAATACATGAAATGTGGGGCTCCCATTCGATGGGCTGTGTCTGGCTCTGCCCCCGGGAGCTGTTTTGGGAGATGATCCATGTCGTTATCTGCTGATGGGATGTACCCATCGCATGGTCTTTACCAGCCCCTCATTGCTGGTGGAGATGGGGGGGGCTCATGGTTTTGAGTAAAGTTTGGGGTTGCTCTGGATGCAACATTTGCTGCCTGCCTCCTGGTCAAATCACACATGGAAAACAAACTAGGTAGGGAGAAAAACCCAACCTAGCCTCCAGGCATTGATTTTCCAGCGAGTTCAACTGCCTGAACCGAAGTGTAAAGTAAATCCCCACCCAGCAGGTCGGGCAGGTAAAGAAACCAGCTGCCCCAAAAAACCCAGACAACAGCATCAACAAAAGGCAACCATTCCCGTTGGAGCAGGCAGGAGGATCAGACAGCAAAGGAGCCCGCAGGGGCTTGTTTCATTTCGTTCGTTTGTTTTGCAAATTGCGAGGTTGGTTTGGGGTTACTAATTTTTTTTTCTTTTCCTTAAAAAGGAAAAAAAAAAAAAGAAAGGAAGCAATATGACATTTCTGTTGGCGGATCCTGTGCCATCGTGTTATGCGTGTTTTTTTTTTTTTGTCATTGTTGTCTTTGTTACTTTGGAAATGTTACAGATTTATTTGCTAATCAGTGTTAACAAACAGTTTCAAACTTTTAGACTCGCCCATTTCTGTGTATTTATATAGATGGAAAAAAAATACATTATATTTTGTATCTTTATGCCCATAATGTTGTCGTGCGTGTAAGGATGACTTCGGTCGCACCATGTCTGTGTGTGAATGTCACTCCTCTGTTGTCTTCCCATTGTACAGATGTTGGATTCTTTGCAGTTCATTGTATGGCTTTATAAAGTGGTAAAAACAAAGAAAAAAAACCCCAAAACCCAGTTATATAAAATATACTGTTGCTTGGAATGCCAGCTTGGTGTCTGGATTGCTGGAACTGTACCTTGAAATTTAAGGGAGCGTAGGAATAAATGTTCTGTTCTTTTTGCACAGGGAAAAAAACCCCCCAAACCCAAACTAAAGGCTGGTGGGTGCTGTGTTTTCTCTGGGCTGTCATTCCCCCTGTTCCTCGATGGCAGATTGGGGCCCCCGGACAGACGCGGGGCGGTGGGTGTGGGAAGAAGGAGGGGTTGTGCTGCTGCTTGTCAGCCTCCAGCCACAGCTTGTGTTCACCAGATGCTGGCTAACCAGACAGCCCCCAAACTTCCGACATGGCTCCAACTCCAGCTTGGGCTTTTGTTTACCAGAAGGGATCTCTCCAGCTTGCCCTGCACTGGGTGCTCTTCAAATCCTGTTGCTTTTTCCCAGGTTGCCTTTAAGTGCTGTCTGTTCAGCCTTGAGCAACCCCTTTGGGTCCATCTCCCACAGGGGAGCTGGATGGGATGATGCTGGTATGGGGTCTTTGCCTTTGCTGAGGTGGTGGTTTGGGCTCTGGTCCCATTAAATCCCACTCTCTACCCCTTTCAGAGCCATCCTGCTCCCCTGTGCCTGGCAAAACTTCCCCCAAAGTCTCAAGGCCAGGCTTTTCCAGCATTTGCGGAGCAATACCCAGCATCCGTCAGAGCCCTCAGCCCCTGGTTCTCTGGCTCCGCTCCTTCCCCTCCTTGCTGAGTTGGTGGCCAAGACCCAGCCCCCGGCATGGATTGAGTTTAATTATACAAGAAATATCAGCCAGAGCAGCGGCAGTTTCTCTGGCGCCAGCACTGCTGCGGCTCAGAGGCTCAGAGCTTCTCCCGGGAGCCGGCAGCACTAAAAATACCTCCTGCCTTACTGTAAATACTCTAAAATAGCTGCAGGGCGAGGGGCGGATTGAGGGGGCTGCTTGCGTAGGGACCATGTGCTGTGGGGCTTGTGCTGGGAGACAAAGGCAAGAGAGGTAAAAAAAGAAAGGGGAGAAGATTTCTGACCCCCCAGAAATATCTGTGGGGCTGTGGGTGGGCACCCAAGTGACCAAATGCCCTCCAAGCCAGGCTGCACCACAAGACCATGTGAGGTGCCTGGCATCTGTTGGCCTTGGCCTCAGTTGTCCCTCATCTACCTGCAAGCAAGATGGGACCTGCAACCTCCTCGCTCTTTCTGACACCGCAGGATGGTATTTTCTTGCAAGCTTCTCTTGGTTTTGTTTCTTCCCTGATTCCTGCTGGAATCAACTCCCCAGGAGCCAGCACCAGCCACCTGCCCATTTCTACTGCTCCTGTCCAGCTGGGGTGGCCATTGCTGGGCAGGAAGGAGAGGTGGTGAGTGCCTGTCGAGGTGGCACAGACAATTTGTTGCAAGTCATAAAGTGCCTCGCATTCCACCCCCTCCCTACTTTTCTGCAGTTAATTCCCCATTTCCTTTCCAAAATTCCTCCGGAACTTCTGGTTTGTGTTTTTCCTCAGCATGTTCTTATCTGCCACCCCTCGCCAGCTCTCACAGTACAGGCTTTTCAGTGTCTTCCTCTGTGCAACTTGCTGCTGTCCCCAGGCCAGGCTAGTGGCTCTGGTGTGACCACTGGGAAAGGCAGGTCCCACCAGCTCCACTCTGGGAAACCTTGCCTCCGTGGCATCTTCCCATGTCTATTGAGTCTCCACCTTCATGATCCCAAATCAGTGTTGTTTTCTCATTTCAACCCCAGCTCTGGAGACCCTGGGCCATCCAGGGAGTGTTTCTTGTGAGGCTGTGAAAGGCATCAAAGTTCCTCTCTCCTCTCTGTCTCCTGCCTCAGGAGAAAAGGGTGGATATGCTGTCAGACAGTTAGGAAACCCTGGGCTGAGAAACCCTAATGGTGGGTTTGTCCCCCACCTCCATCGTTTATGGTTGACTAAGCTGGAAGCAACCCTCAGATCTGGAACAAAACTAGGGTCAGGGGGTGGGGATGGGGCAGTTTCATCTCCTTTCGCTTCTTTTACTCAGCAGTGCTGAGTCCCCCTTGAAAGTGTCCCCAGGGGACAGAAAGTGTGATACAACATGGCTTTTCCTGAGCATTGTGTCTGGGCAAAGGCGAGGAACCAGACAACTTCCACAGGGTGGGAATTGTTGAGCAGACCTGATGTGGGCAAAAGCCACTGTGAGGCTGGTGTTACCTGTGCTCATGCCATACCCATGGGAACAGTGGTGTCTCCCTGTGAGCTGCAAACCCTGTCATGGTGTCCAGGATGCTGCTGTGGATTACTGCATCCCTGAGCTGCTCAGCCCCTGCATGCAATAGTGACACTCAGACCGATTGCTAGAGAGACAAGGGTCCCTTGCCCAAGTGTATGGGGTTCTTATCAATGCACAGACTGGAACTGAGCAGCACCAAACCAGGAGGAGTGCTCCCATTCAAACCAGCAGGGCATGGGAAGTCCATCATAGGGCTGGTGGTAGGAAAAGCCAGCCCAGAAATGACTCTGGGGGCTTCATTATCATCCCAGGGGAATGTTACTGCTCAGAGAAGGGCATCAACATGCAGCCTGTGCTGCTGGAATTACCCACTCTCCATGGCTGTGGTGAACAGGAAAAGACAACAGAAAGGGTTTTGGGCTAAATATTGAATAAAGAGGGGCAATGTGAGACTCGGGAATCGTTTACCTGGAGAGGGAGGGGAAACAAAACCCTGGAGTGTTTGAGGGCAGGGAAGAGAGAGGCTGGGCTAGTCCCTTTTCAGAGCAGAGCAATTGGAGAGGGTGATGGGTAGGACTGGGCTGTCTTTCTGCCTTGTGAGATTCTAGCTCCATCTACAGGGATGTGTCTCCAAGTGATGGAGGCACTGGACTACTGCACACCCAAAACTGGCTGGACAGGAGGTGATGTCTCCTTGCCTGCAGCCAACTTCTTCTGTGACTCTTCTCCCGCAGCACACCTCTGAGTCATGCTCCTGCTGCTGCTCTGCAATGGACAGTTGGGTTTGTACATCCCTGAGATAAACAGAGGTCCTGAGATGGACAGAGATGACAGATACTCAGATGAATCCGGGTACATCCCTGAGACAAAGGGGCTGGGAGCCAGTGTGGTGGCTGCAGGACTGACGCACAGTCAGGGCACCTGAGCTGGGTGCAGAGCACTCCCAGCGCTGCTGGTCCCAGACTTGTGTGCTCTGTGCAGCCTCTTCCAGAACCTGCTTGTCTTTCACATGAGTACAGCCCAAAGATGACCTTGTGCAGGGCTTCAGTGCCAGCAACTCTTACTACTCCATAGCAGTGCCGAGCAGCCTCAGCTCCCACAGGACCATGCAGTCCAAGCAAATCAGGCAGTCAGCCTAATTCAAAAGCTCAGATGACCTGGTGCTAGCCAGGTTTCTTCTTCCTGGTTAGTTGGTGCTCACCATGTCCAATGACCTGCCCAAGAAAGGGCAATGAAGCTAGTGAAGGGTGTGGAAGAAAAGTCCTGTGGAAGAAAAGTGGCTGAGGGAGCTGGGGGTGTTTGGTCTGAAGAAAAGGAGGCTCAGGGAGACCTTATCACTCCCTACAACTACCTGAAAGGAGGTTGTAGCCAAGTGGGGGTCCGTCTCTTCTCCCAGGTAACAAGTAATAGGACAAGAGGAAATAGCCTCAAGTTGTGCCAGGGGAGGTTTAGATTGGGTATTGGAAAAAATTTCCTCACCAAAAGGGTGGTCAGTCATTGGAACAGGCTGCTCAGGGAAGTGGTTGAGTCACCATCCCTGCAGGTATTTACAAGACATGTAGATGTGACACTTAGGCACATGGTTACGTGGTGGACTTGGCAGTTCTGGGTTAATGGCTGGACTCCATGATCCTAAGATTTTAGGATCTTAGGATAATTTAGGATCCAACCTAAATGATTCTATGATTTTATGTCATTGTCCTTCCTTGGATGCTCCTTATCCAGCAGTTTTAGGCAGTCATGAAGTAGTGACAAATAAGAGTTCAGACTGTCCCAGCATGCTACAGCCAGGCTAAAGAAAGCAATGTGTGTCATGAAGGGTTATGAAGCAACTTGTTCACACCATCTGTGCCCCAGCACAGGCCAAGGCTTTTTTATAACACACTCAGTGGTCCTTCATTTCCACCTCGTTCATGCTCTGCCTTGTGTCTGCTTCAAACTACCACAATGACGGCCTCCAGCTGGCTGTACCCTCATGTTCTTCTGGTGGGATAACCGAAGTGGAACTGTCCTCTGCCTTCTCGTGCCTTGATGGGCTCAGGTGATTCACACCCTCTTGCCTCTTGGCTGCCACCTCATATTTGCCCTGTCCCATTGCTTGCACCCCTCATCCCTACAGAGAGCCCAGGCAGAAACAGGCATGAAGTTCAACCTCCAGTCAAAACCAAGCCTTTCTCACACATTACCTGTGGCTTGGGGCATCAGTATGTCTTGACGACAGCTAGTCCCAGCAGAAATTTCCCAGTCAAAGGCAGAGAAGAGAGTGTTTGGTGCCAAAATGGGGGTCACCCTTTTGGACTTCAGGCTCCTTCCTCTCCATGTCTGGGCCTGTCAGAGTGAAAGCACAGAGCAATGTGCCTCTGTCCTGGTGACACAGTGACAGCTGTGTCGCTTCAACATGGGGCATCTTTCTAGCAGTGGTGACAGGACTCCTGATCTGAGCTTTCTTGCCTGATTCAGGGCAATAACATACATGTGCAGTTTGTGATGATGCTGGACAGCTGGAAGAGTGCTCTGAGAGGGCAGGTGTGAGACACACATGCACACAAACAATTATGCTCATATGCATGTGCATTCACAACAGGACAGAAAGACCCATCTGATCTTTTTTCTCTCATCCCTCCTAATCCCAAACTCCAGTGCTATCTGCTAAGTAACCCCCCTCTTTCTCTTAAAAAAAAGAAAAAGGGAAAAAAGAAAAAGAAAGGAAGAGAGGGGGAAAGAGAGGAAGAAAGAAAGAAAGAAAGAAAGAAAGAAAGAAAGAAAGAAAGAAAGAAAGAAAGAAAGAAAGAAAGAAAGAAAGAAAGAAAAAGAAAGAAAGAAAGAGCATAGGGGAGGAATGAAGTATTTGCAAGCTCATTGCTTTAAGCCTCCAACAACTGGATAAAACAAGCCACCAGTGAGCAGCTTCTCGTGAC